AACAGCATACTATAAGGATGGCCTTCCCAGCGTGCACAATCGTCCCCCTCGTTACAACGCGGACGAGAGTTCATCGAACCTCAGCCTTTTCAAAGGGCAACTCGAAAAGGCAAGCGCATCGGGCACCAAGACCTTACGGCATGATGAGTGGTGCACTATCATGCTGTATGTGTTGTTGAACCTTGACGAAGTGAAGCCTTATGTGCAGTAAGTTCTCAATGAGCTTGTTACATACGCCCTTGTCACTATCCTCCTTCTATCCAACCCCATTATCTCTTGTTTTTTAGGGAATTTCTGAATAAATACTAGAGAGGGAATAGGGCTCCTTCCCCTCAAGATGAAGATAGTCTTCTCAAAGATGGTGTGCCCGATTTCATATCCTGGTTCGATACGAAGGTACCGTCCAATTTACCTCGTTCAATCTTTGACATCCCACTTTGCTCCTACAAGCGAGTAATGTAACGATCTATCCGGCCTCACCTTGCAGACCCACAAGGATGCGGAAATGGATGCTGAGTTGAAAGGGCTCACCAAAGGCTTCGCCTACAAGGTCAAGTCATTCACTATTTATGATGTGAATGGCTATCGCTTTCACACAAGAAACTACGAGCAGAGTCGGCCCAATCAGAAAACCATGAATATCGGAGTTCGTATGCCCGGCACCAATGAGCGTGACTACTACAGCATAGTAGAAGAAATATACGAGCTCAATTTTGAGTGTCGCAAAGCTCCTAATCCAGTCGTATTCAAATGCCATTGGTTCGATCCTAATGTCACGAGAACAACCCTTGAGATTGGACAAGTCGAAATTCAACAGGATTCTATCTATCAAGGAGAGGATGTCTATATTGTGGCTCAACAGGCCACGCAAGTTTATTATCTCCCATGGGCGTGCCAAAAAGACCCCAATCTTATCGGTTGGTACCTTGTGCAGTTGGTATCGCCGCACGGTAAACTGCCTGTCCCAAACGATGAGGATTACAACTTTGACCCAAACACACGGGAGTTCTATCAACCAGAGGGGCTAGAAGGGAGGTTTGACATAGACATGTTTTCACTGATGGGCATGGAAGTAGACAATGACATTGATCAGGACGATGGAGATGAGGACGACGGAGAAGAGGTGCAAAATGCTAAGGACTTACAAATGCTTGAGCGATTACAGTTAGGCGATGATAATGATGACAACGATGGAGATGAGCCCGATTTACTCGACAATATTGAGAGTGATGACGGACACCTATGATCCAGCCGCTGCTGATCGTGAAGAATATTTCTAATTCATATAATACTATATTATTATTATTATTATTATTGCAATTATGTTTCGTTCATTTTGCATCTCTTTATAAGTACTTGTAATTTAACTGTGCTAATTGGTTTACTCTTTGAAATTGCAGGCACTCGACAAAATGCCGGGCGGAAGGTAGGCCCGTCGGGGGGTCAACTCCCTCTACATGAGGGAGCGCTCACCACCCCATGCTGAGGAGGACCCCTTGCCGGAGCCGCCGATGAGGAGGACGAGGAGCGGCCGGCCCCACGGCCGTCCGAGGACGAGGGTGCAGCCTGTTGCCACCCCGTCGGTGGACGAGGATGACCAGGTGGTGGGCCTGCACATAGGAGGGGGTGGCACTTCCTCTGACTCGTCGGACCATGGGGAGGCGACGATAGCGACAGCAGGGGGTTTCGCTTGCACTGCCTCTGGCTCTACCTCGTCCGGAGTCTACTTGCGCAGGCCCTCGCAGCTCCCGGCGCGGCCGATCCCACTTCACCGGCGCCCGGTGATTCGACCCAGCGGCGACAAGTAAGTATTATTTCACTACTATTTCATATGACATGTTGAAAATCGAACTAGAGACTAACAATTCTTCTTAATGACTCTTGCAGCAACGGGCCGGCACATCAATGGCACCCTGGGCCTTCTGATTCGGCAGCACTACCCTGGCATGGTCACCTACGCCTCGGTGACTTCGTCGCCCTAGATGTGGGACCACTTCTACGCCACCGAGGACAGCGAGTTCAGCACCGTTGCGGCGCGGATCAAGGCCGAGTTCTGGGTGAGTCTGCATCGCACTAAATTGGTCAATACTACGCATTCATTGGTCGTTCTTGAAATAATGAAACGATACATGATGTCTGTATGCAGGACTTCTTCAGGTGCGAAGAAGGGTTTGAGGACCGGGCGGCGTGAGTGCAGGACAAGGTCTGTAGGTCCCGATTCTTAGACCTGTACCTCGAGACGCGGCTCCAGTGCATCATCAACTACAGCACCGACGTCCTTGGTCAGGTGGTGAGGAAGGCCAATGCCAGGACCAGGACGCTCACCAAGGAGCAGTACCTCTTGGTAAGTACGAAACATTAATACTGACTCCTTCCATGAAGAATAGGTAGGCTTTATTTCATCTTCTGACATATCAATAACTTGATGGCATGCAGCAATGTCCTGATTGGTGCGACAGGCACCGCCTCTGCTGGGAGGTCATTGTGGATAGGTGGCTCTCGGAGGAGTGGGCGGAGAAGCACAACATCCGTCGGGACTGCCGCCTGCAGATGGGTGGGGCGCCACACCACCAAGGCAATCGAAGCCTCAGCACGTACGCCCAGACATGGGTAATCTTCTTTGTGTTTTCATCTTTATTTATTTATTCTAACGCTCAATTCTCATTACTTGTAATCATCTTTGTGTTTTCCTCGCAGTCCAAGGCGCACCAAGGCCAGGAATGCAACGAGTTCATGGCGTACGCCCTGGCACACAAGGGCAAGGTGACGGCCCCGGAAGTCACCTACAACCCGGCGGACGGGCCCGAGGCGTACACCAACGTGAGCGTCCACAGCAAGCTTAGCGAGTACACCTCGGCGGCCCACGAGCGCCATGGGGAGGACTTCGATCCGGCCACCCAGCCCCTGGACATAGACCTCCTGATGAGGATGGGAGGAGGGAAGCAGCACGGCCAATACTGGATGGCGGACAGCACTGTTGACTCCGCCTCTGTTCCCAACCTCGCTGAGATTCGAGCAAGGAGCACTAGCTCCTCCCTCCCCATATGCTCTCGGCAGCAAAGCTCACAGCAGCAGATGGTGGAACTCCAGGTTAGTACTATTTTATTCGTCGTTCATTGCTTTTACATATCTACCTTGCCTTTGCATTGTTTAAACATTACGGGTGAAATGTTGCAGGCCGACTTGCAGAGGTTGGAGGCCCAGCAGGTGGCCCAGGCGAAGGACCATCGGCTGGAGATGGAGGTTGTACAAGCCCAGAGGGTGGCCGAGGTACAAAGGCTGCAGGACATGTTCAGCTTCATGATGAGCCTTCAGGCCTTGCCAGGTGTGGTCGTGCCCTAGTCGCTGCTCGCTCCAGTTGTGGCTCCTCCTCCTCCTGTAGGGACTCCGGTGAGTATATATGGTTGTTTATTCCTTTAGCTTATGCGGCCCTCCTATAGATACTCATGAATTCGCTTCTCCTTTGTGCAGCCACACTCGGCAGGTTCGAACCGGACTCCTCAAGGTGGCCCTTCTCCATAGGTCGGGTGGCCAACTGGCCCTCCTCAAGGTGGCAGTTCACACTCCGGGTGGGGAGGCTGGCAGTAGGTACCGTTTATTTGTTTCTTTTCATGTTGCATGGACTTATGTTAGACTTAGCCTTATGTTGGACTACTATTAGAGACATATATATATTGTGATTGATATTGTCATGGATGATGTGAATGTATGTGATGGATTATGGACAATGGATTTGTATGTGATGTATTATGGATGGTGGATGTGTATGTGATGGGTTATGGATGTGTATGTGATGGAATATGGATGTGTATGTGATATATCACGTGCTGTGTGTTGATATATATGTGATTTCTTTGTTTGTGCTGATGGAAAGCAAAAAACCAAAAAATAGCATTTTTCTCCTCTTTGCCGAGTGCCACACTCGGCAAAGCTGGGAAGCAGAGACCCAATTTCTCAGCTTTGCCGAGTGACAGAGCCATGGCACTCGACAAAGATTTTTTTTTAAAAAGAAAAAATTTCTTTGCCGAGTGCAAGAGTATGGCACTCGGCAAAGAATTTTCAAAAAAAAAAGAAAAAATTCTTTGCCGAGTGCCGCTGAGGTAGCACTCGGCAAAGAGGCTGCTAGAGTTGACGTCGGATTTTTTTTGCCGAGTGCTGACGTGACACTCGGCAAAGGCTTTACCTAGTGCCCGATATGTGGCACTCGGCAAAGAAACCTTTGCCGACGGGTTCTTTGCCGACTGCTCTTTGTCGAGTATGGCACTCGGCAAAGCCTTTGCCGAGTGCAATAGGGACTTTGCCGAGTGACCTAAGCACTCGGCAAAGAGCCCGTCTGCAGTAGTGTCGGTCCGTTTACAAAATAAATTTTAATGTATTTTCTAAGATTAAACAAGATTTTAGAAATCCATATTTTTCTAGAAACATATTTGGATACTTTTTAAAAAAATATATTTCTATATTCCTTCATTAAAGTCTATTTGACCTCGTTGAACTACCGTGAAAGTCTGAGCCAAAACTTGCTTTGAAAATCGTCCACAAAGATAAATTGGGCGGTTTTGAATGTTGGGAGAGTTTAAAAATCCCATTTTCAAATTGAAGGAGACAAATCGACTTTTTCCTAACACAAAATAACCTCTTCTCCGTGTCGTCTGGCGCATGGAGCGGCGACGCGCTGAATCCACATCGCCTCCCCCACGGCCGAAGCGGAGCGGGCGACCGTCGTCGACTTGGATTCCGATTTGTCCCCGCTCCTCCCTGTCCCACGGTTTTTCCTTAATAATCAGGTACCCGCTGATCCTGTTTCGTGATCGCATTGCAAATCTTTTTTTTATTAATCCGATTCCTCCTCGATCTGTCTTTTAATTCTGATTCTAATAACACTCGGATCAGATGCGGCACAACCCGAGATCGAGTTTTCTGCTGCTTTGCTTGCTATAAATCCAAGGCCCTTCATCATCAGATTGATTCGAGAACAAAACACAAAAAGGATCGGAGCAGTCATGATGATGTCTCATAAGCACCGGGGACAGGACGACCGGAAGAACCAACGCGCCGGCGGCAAGAGGTCGCGGTGGAGTAAGCAGCACCTCTATCTAGTCTTGGATGACTGGGACAAGGGCTTCAGCATCCACAAGATCGACGCTGACAGCTTCGACGATTCTGGCTCAGCAACAGTATCATCAGCTCCCCGAGCCTCCGGTGCTGCGGAGTCAGCCGCTGGCAATGATCAGATTTACTTGGCCGCCTCAAGCACAAAGATGTTCATCATTATGAACAACCGTTGCGGTCTCATCTATGACGCTGACATGGCCGTGCTGGCTATTGGCACTCACGCCCCTCCTCGGATGGTCTTTGGCTTCGGCGTCTGCATGCCCGTCGGCGAGGTGCTCTACCTGTTATCGTACCGCCTCTTAGACAATGAGGGGCCGCAGTCGTTCGAGGCAATGTCGTGGTCTCCCGCCGCCGCCGGCGCCTCGGGCGGTGGCTGGGCCTGGAAGACTCTGCCGGCTCCACCGCCCACGTTCACCGGCCGTCAGATCGTCATCTCCCACACTCTGCACCCGGACGGGTGCACCATCTTCATGACCACGGCCTACAGGGACACTCCTGGCGCTCCGGTGGGCACCTACTCATTCAACACAAGGGAGGCTACATGGAGGTGGCACGAGGAATGTGCCTTGCCATTCCATGGGCAAGCTCACTTCGATGCCGAGCTCGGCGCGTGGGTTGGCCTTCACTTGGATGGCTACATACGCTCCTGCCAAGTTATCTCACTACTGGGAACGCGAGCCCCAGGCACACGGCAAAGCCACGAATACACTCTGGCAAAGGGCACTCGACAAAAAATTCATTGGTAAACTCACTTTGTCGAGTGTTTTTCGTCGGGCACTCGGCAAAGACGATGTCGGGTGCCAAAAAACACTTGGCAAACATTTTTTGCAACAAATGAAAAAACAAATTGCCACCGGCCGCCGCCCACCATGGCCACCACGGCCACCACGCTGCCACGCCCGCTGCCCCACGCTGGACGCCGCCACGCCACCCACGCCATGCGCCCACCACGGCCACCACGCCACCATGCCCCACGCTGGACGCCGGACGCCACCCGCACGCCACCCGCTGGATCCGGGAGAGGGGAGGGGCGGCTGCTGGGACGCCGCCGGATCTGGGAGGGGAGGGGTCGCCGCCGGATCTGGGGAAGGAGTGGAGGGGCGGCGCCGGGGAGAAGGGGAGGGGACGGTGGCCGAGGGAAGGAGGGGTGGCCAGGCTACCGCTAGATGCGGCCGAGAGGGGAGGGGCCGCCGCCAGATCTGGTCAGGAGGGGAGGGGCCGCCATCGGATCTGGGGAAGGAGTGGAGGGGGCGACGTCGGGGAGAAGGGGAGGGGGTGGCGGCTGGGGGAAGGAGGGGTGGTCGGGCTGCCGGATCCGGCCGGGAGGGGAGGGGCCACCGGCGGGGAGAAGGGGAGGGGGCGGCACGGCGCGTGCACGTGCTCGGAGAAGGGGAGGGGGCGTGCGGACGCGGTGTGGGGAGAATGGGAGGGGGCCATGCGGGGAGAAGGGTAGGGCGCGTCCGCTGGGGCCGGTTAATTTTTTTTCCTTTGACGAGTGTCTTAGATCTGGGCGCTCGGCAAAGTTTTTTTCATTTTTTTTTCTCCTTCTTTCTCAAAAAAAACATTTTACTTCTTTGCCGAGTGTCAAAAAAAACACTCGGCAAATCCCATCTTTGCCCAATTTTTTTTTGACACTCGGCAAACCTCCTCTTTACCGAGTGTTTTTTTTGCCGAGTGTTTTTAACGCAACACTCGGCAAAGAGCTTGTTTGCTAAGTGCCCGAGAGAATACACTCGGCAAACATAAAAACACTCGGTAAATTTGATGTTTCCGGTAGTGTCCCCGACTTTGTCAGCGCCCGGCCTACCAAAAAAGACAGCTGGGACCTAGGCATAGACCCAAACGTATATTTGGATCACCAGACCACTAAGGAGAAGCTGTTCGGCAACGAGGGGTGCACAATAAGAGCCTCTCTCACCTATATGGGCACAGGCAGATTCTGCCTCGTCGAGTGCGTGCCATCCAAAGTGACGAAGGGGCCAGTTTTCGGAGACAATGACGGCTGTGTGCTCCATGTGACCATGTTTAGTCTCAAGTAAAATCACAAGGGAGAGCTCCAAACCACAAATCACCGGTCCACGCGCTCCTTCTTGGTATCTAGGCATAGAAGTCACTTAAGTCCTTTTGCATTCTGGGCATAGAAGTTGTATGGTTCACCAGTAGAGAATAGACTTTCAGTTTGCATCATTTTTTGGCTTTAGTCCTAGTCATATTTGGGCCAAGCACTAAAGAGAGGAATAGTCTCGGTTGAAGCCACCAACCGGGACAAAAGGTCCCCAGGTGGCCAAGACAACCTGTTGGGGTGGGGAGGCGAGCCGAGAAGGTGTAGGGGGTGGGGAGGAGGTGGCGGACGCCGACGAGGTAGCTACCACCGAAGGCAGCGATGGCGAAGCAGATGCGGACGCTAGGGCGGAGCCATAGCGAGTGAGGCCGGCTGCCTGTAGGGATTCCTCTTTTCTACTGAACTTTTCCGTTTTTTCATGGATAATTAAGTATGTTTATAGATTTTTACTAATTTTGCACGACATAAGGAATTTTCTAATTTGGCTGGTATTATTCTAAATTGCACTTTTATAGACGGTCAATGTCCTAATGTAATTATTGCGACATTGCCGATTGTCGGTGTTTTCGGACCACCGACGAGTAAATTTGTATTTGCGCGTCTGGCTCGGATGGTGTGCTCGAAGAACACAATGGTTTATACTGGTTCAGGTGGAACGTTCCTACATCCAGTTCGTCACTGCTCGTGTTACCAGCACTTGGTTTGCAGTTGGGGTTACAAACAGGCGAAAGAGGGAAAGGATCTCAATTCTCTAGTGGAAAGAGTGAACAGGTGCTGAGAGCTCAATTGCCGCTCAGTCGTGTGCTCGTGTCATACTCTTGTGTTCTGATCTCATGTTTTTTCGCCCCCCTTCATGAGACACCCTGCTTCCCCTTTTATAGACGAAGGAAAAGCGCGGGTTACAGAGCAGGAAAAGTAGAAGAACCAGAGATAGAGAGGAAGGCTTCCAGGGTCGCCACGTCCTTCTTCTCCTTCATGCGGGTCCCGCTGATCCTGTAGATGTCAACAGGGACGGCTCAATGTTGTGGCCCTGTTCGTCACTGGCGCCATGCATAGACGTCAATTGTCGGTCATGGCGCTCCACTCTGTCCCGATGGACGTCGTGGTGAACTGACGCGCCTGTCAGCGTCCGTACGAGGGTTAGGAGAACAGCACCGACACGTCCGACACTGTTCTTGATGTGAATCCCAAGGTATGGCCCATCATGGCCATGGGTCACATCAAGGCATGCCAGTCTCTTCCCTGGCGTCAAAGTTTTGACCTAGGCCCATACGCTTGCACCTAGAGTGGTTGGCGGCGGTATGGGACCCCGTTAGATGAGATGGACCCTGCGTTCTCGATGCCGGGCGATATGGAGCCTGAGGTCGGACAAGACGGAGCCTACGGCCTTATGGTCGGACGAGACGGAGCTCGCGGCCTTGGGGTCGGGGGAGACGGAGCCCGCGGCCTTGGGGTTGGGCGAGACAAAGGCCGTGGCCTTGGGGTTGGGTGAGACCTTTTAATACATCTTGAGCCATCTAGGGAAGTCAGCGTGGGCGCTAACTTCCTTGCTTTGGGTATCCCTACTATCGATACCCGACAGTAGCCCCCGAGCCTACGGAGGAGTAGAATACTCCTTGGGAGGCTTTTCCAGACAGGAGGACTCTGAGGGTTGTGGCCTTCTTTTGGTAGCCCATGACATGTCCTAGTTGGACGGCGATTCCCTTTTGTCGCGATCGATTTTCTTGGGGGCATGCAACCGTAGGATTCGGGAGGTCGGAAAGATTGTTCTTGATTTCGGTCCCCTAGGATCCGATCGGTCCGCCGTCGTACTACGACCGCACATTCGGTCTCCTTGCGAGTCCAACTTCCCTTGAGCCCCCGCGCATGGCAGGGGTCCGGCCAAGGGTCAGCTCATCTTTGTGATCGTCATCCCTCAATCATTTTTTCGATAAAATGGAGGGGCTGAGCCATGCCATGTTCTTCCTCAATGGATGAAACATGGTGCTCGATGAGCTATTAATGGGCTAGTCTGAGTGGGGCCCTTGCTTCCCATTTGCGGGGGTCCAGCATGGGTCAGCTAGTGACCGACTATAGACACTTGGCGGCCAATCCATATAGTTTCTAGGTCCATTCGGCCGGTCTCAAGGGCTCATTGCCTTTCTTCGAGGAAAAACCATGGACTAGGAATCGACCAAGACTCGAGCATGGGCTGGGATGCCCACGACGCTCGCGTGCCTAGGTACTGGCTGCTATTGGGCCCATCCCTTTCCATCCCTTGCTCTAAGGGTGCCCCAGAGCGACTGTGAACCCGTCGGCAGGCCAGCCTTCGAACTCTTGGTCCTAAATGGGCCATAGGAGCATTTTCAACTCTGTTCCCTCCTTACCTGCGACGGTTCTTGGCCCATCGACCGAGCGAACCATCATCTGGCATGTCCTTTGAGGGCGTGGCCAGAGATAGTGTGCACGCGATCTTCAGAGGGAGGTGGCATGACGCGATGCAGTGGGCGCGTGAATCTAGGCAGATGGTTCGCCTTCTCGCCCCGCTCCATCCTATAAATAGAGGTCTCCCCCTTTCATATTTCTGCACAGCAAAACCATAGCCTTACCTTCTCTATTTCTCTACCGCCACCGTTCGGATCTGCCATGCTTGCTAATCCATCGCCGTAGCCCCAGATCTGTAGCTTTTGCTTCTCCACCGCCACCTTTGCTTCTCCACATCCGCCTCCATTCGCCACGGATTTGTGATACCGCTCTGATGTTACCCATGCATCCATGGAGGGCCTCATCAAGCGTGGTCTTCTCCGTGGGAGGACCGATGTGGCGGAGTGGCTCGTGCCTAGCCGTGAGGTGCGCCAGCGCCCCCGATGGCTACGTCGTCTCCTTCACGCTCTTCCATGAACGTGGACTCGTGATTCCTCCCCACCCATTCTTTTGGGGTCTGCGGCACGACTATCAGATTGAGCTACAGAACTTGAACCCCAACAGGATCTAGCACATCACAGCCTTTATCGTGATGTGTGACGTGTATCTAGGGATCGAGCCCCACTTCAAGCTATGGAGATACTTCTCCATCTCCTGGATCAAGAAGGAGAGAGGCCGAGAGACCCCAATGCCGATGGGATGCCCACGCAGCGGGTGACAGAGTACATGCCCTACCAGCTCTCTAGATCCAACAAGGGGTGGCACTCGCATTTGTTCTGCTTGAAGAACAACCCTGCCACTCCCTTGCTGATCTTCTCCGGGCGCCTGGTTGAAGAGGTACCGCCATCATGGCTGTGGGGGCCACTCATCAAGGAGAAGAAGAGGATGTGCAACCTCCTCGAGGCCATCGCGTTCCTGAACACCCACGACCTCCATGGGGCTGGCATCATCAGGGGGTATCACATGAGGAGGGAGGTGCCGCTGATGTCGCATGTCCTCCTGTTATTTGGGATGACGCCTGGCGCGCAGCTCATCGGGACGACACTCACCTAGGGGCTGCTCCACGACAGCGAGGTCACGCAGCACATCCAGGAGGCCATGGGGGAGGCCGACGCCATGTTCCCGATACTAGGGCATCCTGTGATGCGGCCAGACACGGGCTTCCTTGAGCTATCGGCGGGGTTAGTCTTCTGGGACTCTGTCGTGCCGCTGCCAGAGCACACAGCCGTGAGGGCGGTGAACCATGCCATGGATGAGCAAAGGAAGAAGAAGAAGGATGAAGAGGAGGAGAAGTGGCGGTCAAACCAGCGAGTGAAGCTGAAGCAAGGGAAGCGGTGTAAAGGTTCATCCGAAGAAGAGGAGAGGAGGAGGAGGATGACAACTCCATGTTTGCCCATCCCATGGGATGATCGGGCCGCCAGGGATGAGGACCCACCTTCGCTGTAGGTGGGGCCCTTCCTGCGGCATGCAACGGGGTAGGAGGGGGAGGTCGTATCCCCAGAGCCAGCAGAATTAGGCCGCCTCGCCTCGTTTGGGCCTTCGGCGGCGCCTCCGGAGTTAGCGGGAGGCGGTCATTCTGATTTGTCCGAGCCCTCCGAGCCAAGGGAGGGCTTGAAGCGGCAATGTGTCAATGAGGTGCAGCCAGGGTCGGGCATGCCATCCCCAAAACGTCCTCGCATGATGGCGTCTAGGTGAGTCAAGAGTTTTTTCATCCTTTTGTCCTAACGAATTTTTGCCGTGAACTGACCTCCATGTCCCTTGCAGCGTCGAAGGACGTGGGACTCTCCTAGGGCTCCCTCCGAAAAAGATGCTCCTCCGCCCCAACGCTGGTGGTGAGCGTGAGTGGCGTTGGGGCGGCCACGGCATCGACCGGGGAGGCACAGCCGATGGCTGCATCCATAGGAGAGCAGGCGGAGGAGGGCTCATCCGGGGCACCCATGGCGAGCATGGTGTGGACGGTCGTGTCCTCGATGTCGTAGGCAGAGGTGGCATAGCCAAAGACGTCATCCGTGCAGGTGGCCGTGTCTGCGATGGGGTGGATGGAAGGGGGCGTACCCAAGGCATCCTTCATGGATGTGGCGACAGGGCAGGCCTCCATGTCCGTGTCACCCGCCCCCTCTATTGCTAGAGGAGCTGCTCTAGAGGAGCTGCCGCCGCAAGAGAGGTCGGCGCGGGGACGTCTCGGTCTCTGATCCGGGTGGCTGCCCTTGATGAAGAAGCATAGGAGAGGGAATGAGGGAGCATCAACATGGAGGTTGGGGACGCGGTTCATGCCCTGGCCACCATGCTAAGCTTGATGCGCGACATTGTTGCCCCGGTTGGCCAGGTATGATATGACCGTGCTTCTGAACCTTAGGTTATCTTTTCCGTGCCTCTAAGTCTTGTCTTCCTCGCAGATCCTCATGGCCCGTAGTCGGGAGAAGTCCCAGTTCCTTGCTAAGGAGACACGGCGGAGTGAGGGGCTAGCCGCATAGCTTGCTACCGCCCGTCAGGAGGTGGCTAAGCTTGCCCCTACCACCCAGGAGGTGGCCGACCTCTGAATTAGGGAGAAGGACGCTCGCGATGACACCTATG